TTGAATAATATTTAAAACTGTAGTTAAACATATAGAAATAAATTTTACAAAAATAAAGAAAAGAATTAGGCATGAACAAAATAATAATTTTATTCAAATATATGTACATATATATGAACATATTAGAATTGAACATTTTAAAATTTTTCGTTTGAATAATAAGAAGTAAATTTTTAAGTACATACATACATTATTATGAATGTATACTTATTTTTAAGGCTCTTAGCGAAACACAATATTTAAAACTGTTTGTGAACATATAGAAATAAATTTTTTGAAATAAAAAAAAGGTTTAGGCAAAAACAAAATAATAATTTTATTCAAATATATGTATGTACGTCTATGTATTTGAATTCGCATTTTGAAGTTTTTTGGTCAAACAATAACAAATGAAATTTAAAGTAAATAAATAGTGTCTGTATATTTTTTTAAAGCTTGCTGACGAAACATAATATTCAAAAGAATAACAAGAAAGACGTGTTTTTGTTATGCAAAAATTTTTACAGAAAATCTTAAAATAAGGCAATTTGGGGGCTAAAAAGATTCAATGCCAGATTTTGCTAGGACTCTACTCGCAAAACCCTGTTTAATGCTATTTGTTCCATGTATTTAGTCCTTCTAGAAGTACGGATGCTTTTTCACACCTCATAAGTGGAGCTATATATATATACTTAATATTTTTTTATTTTTCTTAAGAGGCCGATTTCGCAGTATGAACGTCAAATTAGAAAGTTTTTCGATACACTTATGTTTTACTCGTTATAAAAATAGGCTTACACACTTATTACTTTATTTTTTGTTAATACTACTTTCACCCCTATCAAATATAATGCTTTTGCTCTAATTTTATAATATGTGCTAGCCAACAATGCATATTGCGCGAAAGTACGTCCTATACTTCGTTTTTTTTTCATTGATATCAGTGAATAAGTACCCAAAGACCAACTCTTTACCAATCTTAATTTTTTTTTAATTATGTATCTTATATTCACAAGTTTTAGATATATTTGGAGAAACGAAGACGAAGTGTCATCGCACAGTTCTAGTATATAACCTATATAAAACTAATATAGCTTACTCTTTTAAATCTTTTCTTCTTCCTATTTATAAACGATAGTAATTTAGAATACAGTAACTGACAGTCAAATCTATGACTATATACAGAATATATACGGTTGCTATACTAAAAGCTTGTACTTAATAGTCGTCCGACATTCTATATAAGGATGAAATTTTGTCATCTTAGAGTTCTTCCAATTAAAAATAATTAGGTACAAAAATTAAATTAAATTTATAAACTCATTTATACAAGTATATACATATAAGAGAACGAACTACATTCTTTTTGGTGCAATTTCCATATTCTTCAGGTTTGGTATACGGTATGTTGTATATTATGATAAACGGTAACTTTTTTATTTCTCCAACTTAATATCTAAAAGAGGAAAACTTTCATTCGTGTTTATTTTGCAAAAGTATAAATAAACGAAATATGAAAAATATCATGATATTGAGTAGCTTGAAAAACAAAACAAGTTATAAAAACAAGTTATGTTTTACTGTACGAGTATATAAGTAGAACATAATTATATAAATTCACCTTATGTAGCATGAATTTTTTGAATTTTTTTGGACTATGGCATGGAATCAAATAAAATCCATCGAACTCAAACTTGAAAAAAAAGTACAAGAAATATTCTGTTAATAGGAAATAACTTTCATGTTTCCAGTGTGTCGGATTTATAATTTAAAACAGATGTTGTCTCTGGCACATTCAATGGAATAAAAAAAGAATCTCGTTGTCATACAACAATATTTCATTTTTGCAGTGCTGAGCTGAATTTTAGATTTTATTGTCGATTAAAAATTTTTGTGACTACGTACATGTTTTCAGTTCATTCGGTTAGATTTGATTTCAAAAAATTTAGTAAAACATGTATAAAACTTAAGTGTAATTAAAATGATATAATATGTATATTTTAGTAAACAATTCCTCAATAAGAAATAAATAATTTTATAAATTTTACTTCCTTATTATTGTTATAATTTTTATTACAAAACGTTAAAAATTTTTAAGTTTGATGAAAATATAAAGAATATTAACACGGTTGTGGTCGAAATTATTTTCGAACCAATATTTCTATTTCGAATAGAAAAAATAAGCATCCGGAAACCAATGCACCAGCGTACACAATTCAGCATTAGTAGAAAAATTTCTTTAAATGTCAAACTGTTCCTTTGTTCTTAAAATTGTGAGTAAAAAAAAACTTTTCTTAAACAAGGATGCATATAAATTTTTAATAGATTTCTTAAATGATAACTCGAAAATCTCTAAAAAATCTAGTGAATTAAATTCGGATCCGCTTTGAAGCGTAATTGACATAATTTTAGCAAATTTGTGAAAACAAAATTGTGAGAACACCACCATTTCGATGACGGAATTTACATTACTATTTAATTGCCAGTTAACGTTTTAGCTGCTGATTTGCTTTTCTTTTTATTAATAAATTAATCAAAATGAATTCATTAACACTTGTCTGAGGGAGCAGAACTAAAAACACTACCAACTTAAGTACTGTAGAAATTAACCAAAAAATATGTGCATAATTTGAAATTTTTCTTTTAGTAAATTTGCGAAGTTTATTTATGTACATTTGCCTGGTGCGAGATATAAAAAATTAAATAGGTATATTTTGTAAAACATTAGGTACACTTTTTGTAAAAAATTTTTGTATATTTAATAAAAGAAAATTAGTTGAAATGATAAGTAAAGACATTTGATCCAAGGTAGAATCTGATGAAATTTATATGTATATCACATTTATGTTATATCAAAATGTCAAACATTTGACAGCAATGTTTTATATGTTTGCAATCTAGAAATTAAAAGCCAGAAAAAAGAACCAAGTAATCGCAGCAAAAGTTTAAAAAAAATTAATTTAAGCCGTACATTTTTTAAAAATCTAACAGAAAATCTTCTGATAATCGGATAGTCTTCTTGTTTTTCTATCATACGATGCCAGAATTAAAGTATACTTGAAATTGGAAAATATCATTAGAAAAGTAAAATTCAAGTATACAATTGAAATTACTTATTACATTTCAATTTACAATCAAAGTTGAATTCAATTTTAAGGTAAATCGGCGTATGCATATGACAATCATTATACAGATTCTTGAAGATTGACCAGGAAAACATCATCAATCAATCATTTTCATCCAGATTTTGATTCACAAAAAAATAGAAATTTATTCTATTTTCGTCCAATCATTTTTGACAGAATTAAAAAAAAATGGTGTAGACATAAGTTTTTGAATAACATGGGCTGTGATCAGCTGTTTTTTTTTTGTCATTTCATAGTAGGGTGGTGGCAGTTTAAATTTAATGTACATACATATAGAAAAGTTGAAGAAATTGAGTGCAATGTAAATTCTCATCAATCTTAATCATGATTGTCAATCTTTGATTAACATGTAAACGCTGCCTAAAGAAATGCCATTAATAGAATTCAGCAAGAACTAAGAAAATCAACAAAATTTATTTTGACATCAGAACTAAACCATATACTTATATATGTACATATGTATATATTTTCATATATATTTGTAATCATGTGCCTTGTGTTCTTATGACAAACATAATGTCAAAATTTTTATATTTATATGTACATATCAATATTATGCATATAGAAGTTTAGAATTATTTTAGACGTTCTAATGATAATGAGTATAAATGTATAATAATTAGAGATATTTGAATAAAACAAAATACCAATAAGTAATATTAATTAACATTTACATGCTATTTACACATAAAGTCTCTTCACGAGAGAACTAAAAGTTTTCAATTTTTGACAATGCTGATTTTAAAATTAATACTAGTTGTCAAAAAATTATGTACATATGTAGATATAAATTTTTGGTAAAAAAAACAAGCTAACGAGACAAAATTTATTATTTTTCACTTACATAGGTACATATGTATGTATGTACATAGCTGAGATTCAATTTTATTTTGTTTCCTGAAAAGACTTACATATGTGTAAGGATATGCGATACTCAAAATAAATTGAAAATTACATTCGTGTGGGAGACATGCTGTATATTTTTTTATATGCTTCCATACTTTACATACATACATACATGCATATAAATAAATAAAATGTCATGTGGCGAAAACCGCATTTTAAAATTGTTGCTTCACAAACAATAAGATAACAAATAGAATATAAGAAAAAAATTCAATTTGTTGCATAAATTGTATGCATACAAAACAACAAACAAAAAAGAAAAGGGGAAACGTCAAAAATTATTTTAACTAATTTGCTTAGACTAAAAATATTTTATCACAAAGGTATTCACACTTATTTTATTTATTTAATTATTAATTATAAAAAAAAAAAATATTCTTTTTCTAATTAACTAGATAATTTTAAAATATTTTGCTGAAGGGTGCAAAATATTTTAAAATTATTTATCAGCAAAATATGAACGCGGCAAGAATAATACGCAAGCTTCAAATTATAGTTCTTTTCTACTAAACATAAAACAAAGTGTCAACACACTATTCTTAACCATTTTTTTATTGTACATTTATTCATATTATATTGTGATTTTTATATACATACATACATACATACAATATGTATAATAATAACAGATGTATAGTAATTTATAAACTTATTTATATTTTTGTTACTCTTGTTTTACTCACGTTGTGTAAAAAAGTCAAAGCCGGTTAATCAAAACAAAAAGTCAAAAATAAATAGATACATACATACAAACATACATAGAACGTATAATATAATATACGAACACTGGTGTAATTAGCAATTACAACTAATTAGTAAATTTTATATTGCATACATATTTGAATAAACTATAAATATATAAAATATTTCTGTTATACTGAAACACATGTATTTTTTCCAAATTTTATAACTTATTTCAATCACTTTTCGTATCACAATTTTTTTAAAGTTTATTAAAATCTCACTTACCAAAAATTACATTTGATTGTTTTTCATACATAAATACATTTTATATGAAATCATATAAATTAATAAGTACAAAACATTTAACAAAATTCAATTATTTATAACTTTATTTAAATAAATCACTTAATTTAAATTAATAACAAAAAAAATAATTATAATTTTAAAATTTAATCCAAGACTACATGCATGAATTATTATTTTTTTTTTTGTTTGTTTTTTTTTCAAAGATAAAAACAATTACAGTACATTTCTAACACAATTTGTATATTAAAATATTGGCGTACACTTTATTCCATATGTGACTGTGCTATGACTCTTTGAATACTACTAGAAGAAATAAATATCGTTGAATTCAATACAGTACATAATGCCAGACAAAAGCAAAAATATTAAAAAAAGAAAATTTCGAATTCAATTTTCGAATTCTGTATTCAGCTATAGACAATTAAAATGAAAGAAAAGAAAAAATAAATAAACAAAAATTTTATTTTTTATTAAAACTTTTATATAGCAAAATGCTTACATACCTACATACATATATACATAAAAGAGTACGAATGTATGCACATAAGTAAATACCGCTGTGAATATTTTTTTAAAAAATAAATACATACATCTGTACTGTATTCGGTATCCTATCCAAAAAAAACAACTTTTTTCAGCTGAATTACTTCAGGTAAATAAAATATCATTGATATGAAGTACAAACAATTACATACATTCGTACATATGTGTGTATGTTTATATGCATTTATATTTTTATTTAAACAGCCATACACAATGCTAAAATTTCAATGTTCAGCTTGTAGAATTTGAAATTAGTTTAAGAAATAAAATATGATGTGGTTTCAATAAAATATTTAAAAACTGTTATACATAAAGTTTTAGAAAAATAAGAAAAGAAATATCATAAAAATATCATTCAGTTATTAAGCTCTTTATTCAGCTATTTGATCATTGTTTTTGCCTACATTTTATAATACACAATCATATACATACATACAAAATGTATAATAAATAAATACAAAATTATACGTTCATTATTGATGTTTATGAAAATAAAGATAATAGGAATTATTAAAGTTTTCAGCGGCAAATTTGTATGTAAGTAAGTATGTTCTGTGTATTTCTTTTCTTTTGTAGATTTTTTTTTGCTTTTTCATTTAATCTGAGGATATGGAAGTATGTAAGTTTGAATGTATACATATTTCGTATTAATAAAAGTCATCACACAAAATACAACGTGTTTTCGGAATGCTATGTTTATTTTTATATAAATCCTATTAAAAACACTTTGAGTAAATGGTATTAATGAAATATTTTCAGAAATAAAAACGAAAGGCAAGCAGGGACGGTACAAATTATACGTATCTATAAAATTATACATATACACACATTTATATAAAGGTGTAGATTTATATAAATAAATATAAAGAAACCAGAATAGGTCTTGGTTTTTTTGGTTGGTAAAAAAAGGTTAAAACGTTTGGGTAAAATTCTGCGATGACCTGAAACTATGGACACTTACATATTTACATACGAATATTATTTATGTATAGTAACATATATAACTATGTTTGTATAAACTATGCATGCTGATGAAAAAATTGTAGCTCCTATCAAGGAAGTGAATTGAAACACGTGTGATTGGGAAAAAGCAAAGAACCGTTAAATTGAAGGCAATAAGTATTACAATTTATTCATGTATATATATACATATAATAAAAATGTATATATATATACATGAATAATACTAAACTTGAAAAAACTAATGTAATACTAAATTTGAAAAAACTCTATTTTTCTAGGTAAAATTTTATTCACTTAGCTGTTTTCACAAAACCATTATACCACTGTGTAATTTACGTTCTTATTAGATACAATCGATTGTAGTCTCAGTTGCTACAAGTGTCGTGACACGTCTATTCCTGTCACCGACAGCTGCGTCCAAAAATGTAACTAAAATATAAATCCAATATAATAATAAGATAATATTCGTATGCATTTATGATTTAGTTTAATATTTTACACTGTTTTTATTTACTAATTTAATGATATTGCATTGAATCACCCAGTCATAACGTAAGCATCAAATATGTATATATACAATTGCAACTACACACATCCATAATTTCTGTATATAAAATTGCGAATATAGCAAATGTATATTGCATGTAAATGTATATGAAGTACTACCATTATTATATATGTATATGAAATACATTATTATTATTATTTTGTTTGTTTTTTATTTTGTCTGTTTCTTTTGTGTAGTGTTTGTTTTTTTATTTACAAAAAAATTATAACTTTGTCAGCTATTTCTTATAACAGCGGAATCAAGAATTAGGGTCATTAATAGAGTTATTTATTTAGGTATAATAAGAGAAAGGAAAGCAAAATTTTGAATAGGTAACCGCTTGCTTGCTTTGCTTTTCAGTCTCAAATGAAAATATCTTCTACATACATAAATAAAAATATTTACAATGTACATACACATTAAGCGTTTGTGTGCATGTGTGAACGTATCAATTTTGGATATTTCTTTTTGTACATTTGAAGGAAAGTTTCTGAATCTTTTGAACGCAAATTTTGAAAAAAAAAACATGGAGTTTGCTAATTTTTTTATTTTATTATCTAATAAACTTGAAAATTTCAAATATGTATGTATGTATGTATGTATGGTGTTGCGTAAGTCAGTATGTTTACTATTAGTACAGACATATTTATGTATAAACGTATGTACATACATATGTACATACATATGTATGTATGCCAGTGTTTGAGTTTTTATGAATTTAAATTTCGAAATGGAAAAATGCTGAATAAGATTTTTTTGCCTAAGCCAATTATTATTACCTCAATTAATGACAACTATACATTAATGTGTATATACATATGTATGTACTTACGTATATGTATGCATATAAACATAAATCCATTCTTATGTATGTATGTACATAAATTGGTCATGTTTAAAGTGTGCTTCAAATAGGTTCCATTTTTAAATGGTTTTTTCTGTCTACACCAATTATTACAACTTTCTTCTCAAAATACCCTTCATACATTTGTTTAAAATATCTACATATGTACATATACATAAATAACATTTAGAACATTTTGCACACTATACACATATTTAGGAACTACATACATACATACATTAATTTTGATTCCAAGCCCAACTCCCAGTGAGCTTTTCAGTTTGTAAATTTTTAATTTAGAAAGAAATATAATCGTTTGTACTACATATATATACATACATATGAATATTAAAACGTAAATATTTTATGTAGGTACATATATACTTATATAGTATATAAGCAAACGTACATACAAATAAACGAAACCCGATCCACACATATTTCAAAAATAATTCAGCGGCTTAATAAAATATATGTATGTATGTTTATAAAAAAGATATAGATTTATGTAGTAAGTACGTGCACGAATATATAAAAATTAAAAATGTGGAAATTTGGCAACAATGTGACGCTATCTCTAATTATATCTGTACATAGTTGGCAAGTCAAATTTAATGTAAAAAAAAAACAAAAAAAAGAACGTATATAAATAATACGTTGGTATATATACATGAGTATTTACATAAATAAGTACATTTATACATACGTATATATATATGCTACAAAACAAAAGTACATACATACATATTTTGAAACGAGTGGTGAAAAATGTGGTGATTTCGAAAAAAATAATTGAGGAATATTCAAACATACATACATATGTACATACATATTTAGATAAAAAATAATCAAATTCAGCAGTTTAATAACGAAATGCAGGTTTTCCAAAGTTAGCTAAACTAATTCGAAAAGTAAAAAGCCGTTTTAAAAGAAATTCAACCAATTGATTATATACAATATATTTGTACATATATATATTATGTATGTACAAGTGTATGTACATATGTCTGTTCAAAGGTCCATAACCAGATATATGTATGTATGTATATTCGATGAAAATGTTTTTTGGACCCCTATACGTCGCATTCGTTTAACATTATGGAAGACTTAATTTGAATGGTACTTTTGTTGACCAAATCTATGAATCCAGAATCAAGTATAGAACCTACAACCATATGTACACATATATTTCCATATATAAAAATGTGTATGTTTTTTTCTCCACATCCCTACTTTTTTAGATCCTCACATTTCTAATCGCTGTGTCAAAAAAATCATACTGTTTAGTGAACATACTGCTTATCTAAGTATTTTTTTTTTATTAATAAAAACATACGTTCTCTGTTGTTTCGAAAAGGTTATTATTAAGACTAGAAAAGCACTAAATAGTCTATGTATGTATGAATGGTAATTCTTATAGGTATATTAATATATCAGATGCACTATTGTTATATTATGTACATAAGTACATACTTACATATTCATAAAATGCATATGCATATGTATATTTATGAAACCTATTGTTATACCAATTTTCCCTGTTGAGAATTTGTTATTTTACTTATTGCGATACAAATTTGTTCGCTTCAAATATTTCAGGGGACTCAGATTTAATGCTTTAAAAAATTTTTATTTTCGTATTATTTAGTCATACTCTTTCTTTTGAATAAATATTAAATATTATTTTTATTTCATTTCCCTTTATTTTATTTTTTGGTTTTGTTAATTTCAAAAGTGGTTTTGGAAAAAATAAAATTGGGTTTGCTTTGAAATGTAGTACATATGTATGTATATACCTAGATAAATATATATGTATGTTTGTATGTAGCATGTAAATATAATAATGCTTTATAGCACAACATAAGGTTATTTTTAATTTGCGTATTTTTAAGATCGAAATTTTTCGAAATACGAACCACTAAATAGAAAACGAAAGAACAGCATTAAGATAAGTTGAACGAATATACAAAATACGCACTGGTATATAACACATTGGCTTATGTATATAATATTATTATGTACTTGTTTATCTATATCCATAGTATCTAAATATGGGTGGTATGCGAAGTATATCCTGCTATATGTATATTTAATTCAAATTTCCGTTATGATACGTCAAGTTAGTGTTATTTTGAGTACTATCTAGATTTTTTTATATGCAAATATTTAAGTATTTTTGTATGTGCTGATATAAAAATATACATGCATATGTATGTTTTTATGTACATACATACATATGTAGATTAATTATTTGAATACTCTTTCAGCTTGTATGTACCTACATAAGTATGTATAACCTAACGTTTTACCATTATGTTGTGATTTATTATTATCACTATTAGCAAAATGTTCTATATACGGTAATATTTGATATTTTATTACTTGAAA